CAATTCCAAAATTGTTTTAACAGTTCATTGTCCCAGCAGCTATGTCGATGTGACTACCTGTAATCTTCTACCATGATACAAACAAAAATGCAAAAAAAAATTGTTCTGACAAGGAATCTATTCCACAACAGCTGTTCTTTTGCTTCCCTTCTCCAAATAAATTATACCCGAAACTACATTTTCTTTATGTCTCTCTTTCACTCTCTCTGTCTATTTCTCTCGGCCAAATAAACTTATGTTTCCTCACAGTTTGATCAAACAATTTAATGGGAAAATATATTTTACGAATGTGAACATGTGTCAATCATGTTTCCCATAGCACTGTTTGACGCTGTTTGGTGACTGTTTGAACAAACAAAATCTGTCAAATATTTGACTGTAATGTGAACATCGAATCAACTCTGTATGAATTTCACATTTGTTCAGTCAAATATGGGAAAAAAAATTTCGATCAAATATTTGCCCAGTGTGACCGTACCTTTAGTCCTGTTGTTCTTCTTTTCTTGAACTGGGAAAATTGCAATAAGAGAATGAACTTCATACTCCATTTCAAGTCATTTTTTAGGAAGCCCATTGGTATGGTTTCAATGCGTTTCTTAAAATGGGTTTCTTAAAAAATGACTTTAAATGGAATATAAACTTCGCTTTATTCAACAGATAAATAAAGCGATCTCAAGATCCTTATCATACTAGCCAAGTCTTTTCTGTTCCAAAAAAAAAAAAAAAATAAAATAAAATAAAAAATAAAAAAATTGTCACCCCCAGACTTCGACTCTATTTTTAGTCACACTTCAATCAGCTCACAATGCTACATCAGCCTAAGACAATATTTTCTATATTAAAATAAAAAGCAAGTAAATAAGTATCGGTCGGTTTTGCCGACAGATGTATACCCTCAGCCAATGTTCGATTAATTAAAAATATTCTGGCTTCTGTTATGATTATTCAAATTTTTATGCAGTTGGTTCCGAAGGAATTGGCCAATATTGGCCATTTCGTATCGGACCTAAATAAATATGATATAAATATTGCGACGTGCTAGGTTTGGACTGTGTTGTGTTAATGGAAATTTTGGGATGTACCAAGTCTTAAATAGAATCGGATGTCAATTTCGCTTTTTATGAGCTTCAAGGGTATTCAAAATTTTGAGCCTTTGTGGGGGAGTTACCAGAAGGAGTGGACCGATATATCCCATCTTCACAACGGATCTATTGTTAGTGGAAATAATGGGATTTGTGAAATATAAAGAGAACCTGATGCTTATTTCGGATTTTATAAACGTTTTGGTTATTCAAAACTTTGACCCTTTGAGGGGAAAGTAGCAGAAGGAATGGTCCGTTTTTTGACAGATCCCGTGTTGATAGAAATATTTACATGTGAAAAGTCTAAATGGAATTCGATGTTAATTTCGCGTTTTGTGAGCTTATTGGACATTCAAAATTTCGACCTTTTGTGGGGAGGTACCAGAATCCTATTCTTACATCACATTTTATAAGACTTATAATTATTCAAAATGTTGACCCCTTGTGGGGGTGGTACAAGAAGAAATGGACCGATATTGTCCATTTCTGCACCAGATCTATCACTGACTCAAATATTAGGATTTGAAAAGTTGGAGCAAAATAGGATTATATTTTTTGAAAATATCGACCTTTTGTGGGGGGTGGGGGGTACCAGAAGGAGTGGACCGATAATGCCCATCTCCGAACTCGATCTAAGTTTGACAAAAATATTACGATGTACGAAGTTTGATTCAAATCGGATACTCCCTTCGAGAGTTATCGTGCGCACCAGCCAGCCAGACAGACAGACGGACGGGCGGACGGACATTGTCCCCAATTGTCCTGAAACAGATTTGGTCCAAAGAGACCTAGGGTCTAAAACCGTTGTTTCGACTAGGCACGTATTGGCCGTATCAAATGATATATACCCTCTGTAGCCATATGGCTGAGGGTATAACAAGTTAAAAACAGGTAAAGAAAGGTCAAAAGTCGGGAGGCCGTCAAAATGATACCCTACACTACTAGGCACATTAGTAGAGCACCCATAACAAAAAAAAAATATTTTAAGTAGGCCATACCATCTATCAACATTTGGCTTTAGAGCAGTTATAGTTTCGTTTCAAAGGGAACTAATACATGGGAGGCATGTCCAATTCTAAATCGTTTTTCACTAAATTTGACGGAGATATTTTATTCTTTTACACAAAATAAAATTGCTATAGAGTGATAAGGATTATATCAAATATATATATCGGAGCGGAGTTGCACAAAATGGAAACTGACGTCCCGAACGTCATTCAATTTGGGCTGATATTAGACATCATTTGCACAATGAGCCTGAGATATATATGCAAATCTCAGCCGTTGAATATAAAATACCTATATCTGAACCGATTTTCCCCAAATTTTATATATTTGCTTCTACACTGAATTCGGTCGGATGCGCTAAAATACAGGCCAACTTGATTTATATTGGCTATTTGGTGCACAATTAACCCGAAATCGGAGGAAGATATATATGGGACCTATATCCAAATCTGAAAGGATCTTGACCAAATTTTAAAAACATATTTCTGAGCTATGTCTGATATCTGATACCAAAGATTATTGTTGTGGAGTGCATATTGCGTTGTGGACTTTAACATCAAATCTTATAAAACATATACATGGGAGCTATAGCTATATCTGAACAGATTTTCAGAAAATTTGAAATACTTCTTTCTAGGATGAATTTTGTCGGAATTGCCAAAATTCAGCCCATTTGGACTAATATTAGCCATTTGGTGCATAAATTATCTGAAATCAGATAAAGGTATATATCGCAGCTATATCCAAATCTAATTCGAGCTATATCTAAATTTGAACCAATTCTCACCAATTTCAATATGGTTTGTACTTGGGCCAAACAAATATTGTTGTCAATCGGATTGTCAATCGGATAATAAGTGCGACCTGCAGTTTCTTCACAAAAATTCATGGAAAGGCGGACAGACTGACATCCATAAATCGACTCAGAGAGGGATTCCATGAAGATCCCCGGCATATGCCATATTTACATTTCATCAATTGCTTAAAGAAATATTATTATTTTTCCCTTTGTTGGGGAGGTACCCGAATGAATGGGTAGATTAGTTTCATATTGTGCGAAGTTAGAAGAAACATCGAATGAGTATTTTTAGTTTTATAATATTTGACTTATTTAAAAATTTGACCTTCCCCACGTAGTCGAAACACTCCATATTTACATAAGTTCTTGAGTTCGGCCAAATATTGAGTTATACTTAGATGAAACAGAATCGCCGACTTATTTCGTAAGTTATAAAGGTTATAAGTAGCCTTAATATTGACCCTTTGTGGGGGAGGTACTAGAAAGAGTAGTCCGGGATGGTACCAGAAGGAGTGAGCCGATATCTATCATCTTCACATCAACTCTTGTGTTAGTATAAATATTAGACTGTGAGAAGTTCAGAATGAATCCGATGATTATTTCGTATTTTATGAGAGATATAATTATTTAAAAATTTTACTCGTTGCTGAGGCTGAGAGAATAGATATATTTTTCTGCATAGAAAGAGAAAGGATCATCCGATTTTGCTCAAGCTTTGCAAATCTCAATATGTGCGTCAATGTTAGGTGGTGTCCCCCACAAAGGGTCAACATTTTGAATAATTATAACTCTAATAAACTTTGATGTAGCAGTCCGATTGTCGTCAAATTACACACATCACAATATTTTTATTAATCCACAGTCGGTCCACTTCTTCTGGTACCTCCCCCACAAAGGGTCAGAATTTGGAATAGCTATGAAGCTCGTAAAACGCGAAATGAGCACCTGATTCTCTTCAAATTTCACACATCTCAATATGTATACTAACACAAGATCTCCTGTGAAGATGGTTTATATCGGTCCATTTCTTCAGGTACCTCCCCCCAATGGTTCAACATTTTAAATACCAATGAAGCTCATAAAACGCGAAATTAACATCCTATTCTCAATACTTCCATCAACACAAGATCTGTGATAGAGATGGTAGAGGTCGGATCATTTCTTCTACTACCTCTCCCACATAGTGTGCAAGACTTTGATTTTCGTATAAAATTGGGTATGAATGTTCGATTTTCTTGAAATTTTGCCTATACCAATATTTTGATCTGTACTCAGTGATGTAAGACAATGAAATACTTCGGTCTACCATATCTGATATCTCACGCACATTTTAACATTTATTAAAAATTATCACATATTTCAAATAAAGTGAAGGAAGTATCCAATATAGTCCAAACCTGGCATGTCGCAGCATTTATATAATATTTATTTAGGTCCGATACGATGTTGACAATATTGGCCCATTCCTTCAGAAGTCAAAATATATTTAAATAATCAAACATTGACTGAGGGCGTTTGTCTGCAAAAGCGATTGATTATTTTTAACTTGTTTTTTTTTTTTTTAAATGTCGACCTTTTACGGTGGAGATACCATACCCATCTCCGAACTTGCTATAATATGACAATGTACCAAGCTTGGACCAAATCGGATACTACCTTCCAGAGATATCGTGCGCACCAGACAGATGAACAGACAGACGGACACCATTAGATCGACTCCCAGTGACTTGACGGATTTGGACCAAAGAGACCTTGGGTCTAAAATCTTTCTTCTGTAGCCACATGGCTGAGGGTATAATTAAAGTAGACAACTTTGCTACCCAATACTGAACAAAATATTAATGAAATTAAAAATATAGCATTGAAAATAAATTGTCAAATATTTAAAAATTTTCTCGTAATCATACATTCCTTCAAAGTTATCAAACATTAAAGTTTAAATAATTCAAGAACAGAAGCTATTTTCAGCACAATTTATCTCAACAATTTGTTTTACGTCCAAATATCTGAGGATATTGGTATCCTCAAAATTTTCATGTAAATGCGGCAAATAATAAAATTCAGATATATGCAATTATATATTGATTTAACAATTCTTTCATCTTTTGCAGGAATTTATATTTTCATTTTTACTATCGTCACGCCTATATTTACGTCCCCACGAACTGCTGGGCAAACTTCTATCCTCAGTACCTGATAGTGAATCATTAGAATCGTTGGTAGCATTATTAGCTGAATGGACAAATAAGTTTCCCTACGATTATCGAGATGAGCGCATGATGAGTCATGTTAAACATATCGTTGCCAGGTAAGTGTTTGTTAACATCGAAATCGGCTGTGGATTTCCTTTTGTTTGCCTGCAGTATCATCCATTAACCGAAATGGAGCTTAATTGTGTGTGTGTGTTTGTGTGTTTTCTTCTCATCTAATTTATTGATGCCCCCAAACGCTCGCCAATCCATCTCTCTATCACTTAAAGATGTTCCAATACACGTTTAGAAGCCATTGTTTCGGAAATATTGAGTGCCTTGTTAAAACGTTTGACTGATTTGGAAAACCATGAAGAAGAATTGAGAGCATGCCAAACAACTAATACCAGCACAGCTGCCGATAAGGTGAGTACGGGCGAAACATTAATCAACACTTTAAAAATGATTCAAACTGAGATATTTATATGTTTTGCTTGCTACCATTTCAGTCTGATTCGAATCTATTTAGCTGTCCCACTTCTACCCAATATGCCCAGATTTTGTGCCGCATTGAAAAGAAGCTAGCCAAACATATTGGACCCGAAGAGTTTGTGCAATGCAGCAGTAATGTTCTGTTGGATAAACAGGTTGGTGTTGTTTTTGGTTTCTTAGCATTTTAATAATTTTTAAGTGAATACAACAATTATACACCAAAAAGTCATGTCTCGAAATGGTTGGAACTGATAGAAAATATGTAAAATTGTAACGTAGTATAATTTCCCCTGACACAAATATTTTTATATTACCCTCATGTAACGGTATCAAACGGTATGTAGTTTGTAACTCTAAATTGATTAGATAGGTCCCCACTTCTGCATAACCTCATGTACCCTCCAAAATATTCGGTGTTTAACCACAAAACTAACTAGCCACATTTCTCAATGGAATTGTCGATGCTCACAATAGTTGCCACTATTTCTTACAAAAAGTTGTCCATTTATATCCACGTTTTCATATATTCTCCAAATAACGGTACCTATCTATTTTCAATATTTTGACTATTTTAGACGGATCCTTTCTATGGAAGTTCGTAACAATAATGCTACTTCCCCATTTTTAAATTTTGAGAGACACTGTTTTTAAGATTCTTAATAAACGAGTTTTTAAGAATGCAGTATTGGATCTGTTGGGGATAGATCCCCTAATTTTTTTCATTATACCCTACACCACATAGTGGTAAGGCTTTTATGTCTTTGTGCATTTGTTTGTAACATGGAGAAGGAAGCGAGTTACTTTTGAGGATCTTCATTCACTTTCTTAGTCAATTTATGCATGTAATTCCGTCCATCTATGTATTCTTGTGAACAAAATGCAGGTCGCATTTATTATCCGATTAAGATGAAATTTTCCAAACAATATTTGTTTGGCCCAAGAACGAACACCATTGAAATTGGTGGGAATCGCTTGAAATTTAAATATAGCTCCAACTGAATTTTGGTACAGCCCAATAGCAAGTACATCAAATTTGGAGAAAATCGATTCAAACATACCTATAATCCAAGACAATAATCTTTCGTACCAGATATCAGATACAGCACAGAGATAAGTATTTTAAATTTTGTCAAGATCAGTTCAGATTTCGGATATATATTTATCCGATATCAGGTTTATTGTGCACAAAATGTCTAATATCAACCCAAATGAACTGAATCTTTGGAATTCCGACTGAATTCAACCTAAGAAAATCGGTATAGATAGCTATAGATCCCATATACAGGGTGAGATAAGAAAAACTGCAACAAAGTCAAACGCCATAATTTTTACATTTTTTTTTAATTTTATCGAATGAAAGCAAAAAATGTCGGATTTGTTCGAATTGGTCAATTCTGGCACGAATTGTGTCCTTCAAACGGCCAATGACACCGTCACACGCCGCCCGAATGTTGCTCTGCGCTTGCTTGAGGTGATCAATATTTTGGTATTTTTTAGTGCCAACCTTGCTTTTCAAAATACTCCAGACACAATGGTCCAAGGGATTGGTATCCGGAGATTTTGATTGCCATTGTGCGCTGGAAATGAAGCGCAATTGGCGCATGCTAAGTACGATGGTGTAGAGTCCCGTTGGAATGTTCAAGGTCTGCGGCCAAAATGTTTGCATGCCGAAGGCTTTAATACACCCTCCACAATATTTACGCGATAATATTCGACATTTATTTTGATGCCACGGATGATTAATACGAGCGGAGGGCGACCATTGGCAGCTGTCGGGCTTGAGTTCTGATGGCTAACCGGAGGTGCACATTTTCAGCTGACCTCTTTGGCAAGTAAACACGATCATTTTGTTTGTTTACAAACTGCTGGACAACGAATGTTTTCTCGTCGGAGAAAACCAAATTCCACAGTTCAACAACTTCGGCCAAACGAAGAAACTCTTTAGCTATTTTGAGTCTATTTTCTTTCTGTTGCGGTGTAAGTTCTTGTACTTTTTAGAATTTCAATGGCTTTACCTCGAGCCCATTTTTCAATATTTGCCAAATGGAATATTGCTCACGAGCCATTTTTCAGCCACTGCGACGCGGGTTTCGATCAAGTCGTTTCTTTGCTTTTCGAACCATTTCTGCTGATGTAGCTATTTTCTTCCGTCCACTTCCTTGACGTCAAGCTACGCTACCAGTATCACGGTAACGGGCGATAGCACGAGACACAAAAGATTTCTTCACATTTAAATGCTGAAATGTTCTAACATTAGGCACTTGTGGTTTTCCAGCCAAATATAAAAAAATCACACTATCACGCTTGAATTCCATCACGAATAACTTTTTTTCTGGAAAATTCTCACTAAAATGCTTTTGTACGTTTTTAAACAATATAATGAGCTGTCACTGGAACATTTTTAATAGCTGTCGGACGAGTGGTTTATGAATGACAGCAGCCTGAAGTTGGTTGCAGTTTTTTCATCTCACCATGTGTACTTTTCTCTCGATTTTTGATTTTAAGTCCCTCACATTCCTTATATGCATCCCACTACTTTGATATTTTTCACCAGATATCAGATGCAGTCGAGAAATAGCAGTTTCGAATTTTATCGAAATCCGTGCAGATTTGGTTATGGCACCCATATATATCCTCGACCGATTTCGGGTTAATTGAATTCAGACTAGAAGAATGTACATCGAATTTGGAGAAAATCGGTTCAGATATAGCTGTAGCTCCCATATATATGTTTCGCCCGATTTGGTGTAAAATCCCTCATATTCTCAATATACACACCACAACCGTGTATTTGGCACCAGATATCAAAAACAGCCCATAAATATCTGTTTTAAGATTTATCGAAATCGGTTCAGATTTGGATATAGCTCCCATATATATCCTCGGCCGATTTCGGGTTAATTGAGCATCAAATGACCGACCAAATTCAGCCTAGAACAAACAAATGGACAAATGGAATGTTGTCACTTCCAACCGAATTCAGCCTAGAAGGAAGTACATCGAATTTGGAGAAAATCGGTTCAGATATAGCTATAGCTTACATATATATATTTCGCCCGATTTGGTGCTTAAGTCCCTCACATGCGTAATATTCATTCGACAACAATGATATTTGGTACCAGATATCTCATAGAATACGGAAATACCTTTGCCAAATTTTATCGAGAACGGCTAAGATTTTGATATAGCTCCCATATATTCTTAATCCAAATAGTGGCTAATATCAGCTCAAATAGAGTGCTTTCGGGACGTACTTTTCCATTTTGTGGAACTCGGCTCCGATATAAAATTTTTTAACCTAATTCTTCGCGAAGTAACATCATGCACTCTATAGCAATGTTAGTTGGTATAAAAGATTAAAATGCCTCCGTCAAATACAGTGAACGTCGATCCCGAATTAGACATGCCTCCCATATATTAGTTCCCTCTGAAACATTTGGATGAAAAAAAAATATTTTTATATTATCATTTTCTAGAACTTGCTATGGGTGGGCTAGTAATAATTTTCTAGCTCTAAAATTATATTATTTTCTAAAATCACTTTCTTTTTGAGTTGTTCTTGTATTTCTAGCATCTTCAAGATTAAGTGCAATAATTTACGTAAAGCTTTAACATTTATTCTCAAACAATTAGACATTAATAAGTACTAACGTAAATCAAGTCCAATTTAAATAGAAGAAAATTAATTTCATGTAGAAATGGAATACTATCTCTATTACCACAGGATATAATGAAAACAAAGAAGAAAGAAAACATCTAGCTAGAAAAATAAATGACAAATTTAACGTAAATCTTATGACTGTCATGTGTACTTTATCTTGAATTTTATGGTCCGCATAGTCCATACACACCCAAATACTTCCTTGTGTGTGCGTGTGGGTGGGTGGGTGACTGGCAGCAACATCCAACAGTTGAAAGTGAACGACAAGGATATTTATATGCTGGAAGATATTGCTCTCTCTCAAGGATGCAAATATAATGTTTTAATTAAGAAAATAATACATGCTCTGTGCTGTTCGTTTTCGTTTCATTCTCCTTTTCCATTCATTCTTTTTACGCAAATATTATTTTTCTTAATTTAAAAGGAAATACGCAAAAAGTATTCAACGAACAAAAAACGAGAATCATTTGAAACAAATTAATGCCAGTTTACAATTCGGTGGCTTTCGTTGTACCCTACATTATACAGTTGTGGACTTTAGTGGTTATCTTGTTTTGTATTTTCCTCACTTCCCCGTCAATTGTTTAGGGCATTGTGAGTCCCAATTTATTTTTGTTTTTTTTTATCAAACTAATGTTCTTATCTGATAGATGGGATAGTATCCCACGATATAACATATAGGGTGAGATGAAAAAAGTGCTACCAACTTCAGACTGCTGTCATTTCAAAGCCACTTATCCGATAGCTGCTAAAATTATTCCAGTGACAGCTCATTATATTGTTTACAAGCGTACAAACACATTTTGGTGAGAATATTCCAGAAAAAAGTTATTTGTGGTGGAATTCAAGCGTTATAGTGTGATTTCTTTATATTTGGCTGGAAAACCACAAGTGGCTATCGTTGGAGCACTCCAGCATTTAAATTTGAATAAATCGTTTGTGTCTCGTTCCACCGCTCGTTGCCGTGATACTGGTAGCGTAGCCCGATGGAAGTGGACGGAAGAAAACAGCAACATCAGCAGAAATGGTTCGAAAAGTAAAGAAGCGATTTGATCGAAACCCTCGTCGCAGTGGCCAAAAAATGGCTCGTGAGCTGAACATATCGCAATGTTACATTCGGCAAATATTGAAAAATGAGCTCGGGGAAAAGCCATTGAAATTCCAAAAAGTGCATCAACTTACAGCGCAAAAGAAAGAAAATAGGTTCAAAAGAGCTAAAGAGTTGCTTGGCTTGGCCAAAAGTGGTGAACTGCCGAATTTGGTATCCCCCGATGAGAAAACATTCGTTGTCCAGCAGTTTGTAAACAAACAAAATTATCGTGTTTACTTGCCAAACAGGTCAGCTGAAAATGTGCACCTTCGGCTGGCCACCAGAACTCAAGCACCGGCCTTGGTGATGGTTGGGCCGCCATAACAGCCGATGGTCGCTCTCCGCTCGTATTAATCGACAGTGGTATCAGAATAAATGCCGAATATTATCGCGAAAATATTCTGGAGTGTGTATTAAAGCCTTGGGCAATTTCGGCCGCAGACCTTCGACATTCCAACATGACTCAGCACCATCACACTCAGCACGCGACACCCAAGAATGGTTGCAAAATTAGGTTCCTCTCTTCATTTGCAGCGCACAATGGCCACCAAAATCTCCGGATACCAATCCGTTGGATTATTGTGTCTGGAGTATTTTGGAAAGCAAGGTTGGCACTAAAAAATACCAAAGTGTCGATCACGCAATCAAGCGCTGCGCTGGGAATTGGACAATATACCGCACAGCAACATTCGGGCAGCATGTGATGGTGTCATTCTCCGTTTGAAGGCCATAATTCATACCAAGGGTGACCAATTCGAACAAATCTAAATTTATTCTAAAGGAAAGCTCAAAAGTCGGGCGGGACCGACTATATGATACCCTACACCATTATGCATATTTAGTAGAGCTCTCGTAAAAAGGTTTATACAGGGCATTTCAGAGCTCTATGAGATATTTGGTACAAAATCAAAATCTATCGTGTATTTTACGAACTATAGCTATCTCTGAACCGGGTTTCTCCAAATTTTACGTATTAGCTTCTAGACTGAATTCGGTCTTATATACGAAAATTCAGGTGATTTGGGCTGATATTGACCATTTAGTGCACAATTAACTTGAAATCGATAGAATAATGTGGAGAGTATGCTATGCTATGCTATATCCAAATCTGAACAGATTTTGATAAAATCAAAATCGACTATTTTTGGGTTTTATCTGATATCTGGTACCAAATATCATTCCTGTGAAGAGTATATTACGAATGTAAGGGACTTAAAGAGAAAATCGGATGAAACATATATATGGGAGCTAGAGCTATATCTGAACCAATTTTTACTAAAATTTGTGTACTTGCTTATAGACTGGTTTCGGTCGGATTTGCCAAAATTCAGTCCATTTGGACTTATATCGGCCATTTGGTGCACAATTAACACGAAATCGGATTAAGATATATAAGGGAGCTATATCCAAATCTGAACCGATTTCCATAAAATTACAAACAGCTATTTCTGGGCTGTATCTTATATCTGGTACCAAATATCATTCTTGTAGAGTGCATATTACGAATGTGAGAGACTTAAGCACCAAATCGGATAAAACATATATATGAGAGCTATAGCTATTTCTGAACCGATTTTCTCCAAATTTGTTGTATTTGCTTTAAGGCTAATCTCGGTCACATGTGCCAAAATTCGTGCCATTTGGGCTGATATTGGCCATTTGGTGGTCAATTAACCCGAAATCGGATGAAGATATATATGGGAGCTATATCCAAATCTGAACCGACTTCGATAAAATTTAAAACAGCTATTTCTGTTCACCATCTAATACCTGGTACCAAATATCACGGTTGTGGAGTGCATAGTAGGAATGTGAGGGACTTTAAGATCAAATCGGATGAAAGATATATATGGGAGCTATAGCTATATCTGAACCGATTTTCTTTCCAAATTTGATATACTAGCTTCTAGGCCGATCTCGGTTGGGTGTGCCAAAATTCAGGTAATTTGGACTGATAGTGGACATTTGGTGCACATTTAACCTGTAATCGGATGAAGATATATATGGGAGGTATATCTAAATTTGATCCGATTCTCACCAATTTCAATAGGGATCGTCCTTGGGCCAAAAAAATTGGAAAATTTCATCTCAGTCGGATAATAAATGCGACCTGCATTTTGTTCACAAGAATACATGGACAGACGGACGGACAGACGGACTGACATGCATAAATCGACTCAGAAAGTGATTCTATGAAGGTTCTCAAAAGTAACTATGGGTCTATCTCGTTTCCTTCTCCATGTTACAAACAAATGCACAAAGACATAATTCCCTTACCACTATGTGGTGTAGGGTATAAAAATAAAAATTATGCTTTGTTGCTGTTTTTTTAACTCACCCTTTTTATGATAACAATATTTTACTTATATTCCTTTCCAAATAGATTTTTTTCTTCATCTATGAAGTACCTTAAATGCCGACCATGCTGAACTCATTGGCATTGTTAAATTTTGTACTTATTTCCTTCTTTCATTCCATTCATTTGTAATTTATGCCCCATTTATTTCTTACAGAAAAAATGGGACCAACCATCATCGTCCGGTGGACCACCAGGTGCTCAAGATCCCAAAAAGACATGCAATTTGGAGACATATCTTGATTGGTCAGCACGTTTGCGACTGTTTGTGTGCAACGAAATATTACAGGTAAATTTCAAGAAATTATGTCATTATACATTTATTCATCTTAAAATAAGAAGAAAGGTCATAAATTAATGAAAGCCCACATTAATAAATGTCAAATGTAACCGATGTAAGACAACATGCAGAACATACTTACATGTCGCATCAAGAAAGATGACAAATTTTTGTTGTGTAATTATAACGAAGATGGCTCGCATATCTTATGTCGTACGTAAGACGATAAGTAGAGATTTCTGGGATATGCACGCGTTCCCCACGAAAGTTGTGTGTCCCATACATCATTGGTAAAATGTATGTGACGTAAGGCGTACTTTTATATTTGAGTAGGGTATAGAAAGATGGATGCAATTAATTTTTTAGCAGCTATAGGAAAGTTTAAAAAAGAACCAGTAAGGAAAAGCCAAAAGTCGGTCGGAGCCTACTATATGATGCCCAGCATCATTATTCATACTAATTAGAAAAGAATAAGAAAAGAATTTACTTGAAGTAGCTCATACCACCTACCAAGAGCAGTTATAATTTAGTCTCAGAGGGAACTAATGTATGGAAGGCATATCCGATTCTGAATCGATTTTCAATAAATTTGATGGAAACAATTTTATCTTTTATACCAAATAACACAGCTATTGAGTGCATGATATCATTTTGAGAAGGATTATATTAAAACAAGTAAAAAAGCTGTAAGCCGGGCCGAACTTTGAATACCCTCCCTCCACCATTTGAAACGAATTTAACTATTCCCAAAAACAATAAAATCCGTTAAAAAAATTCTGTTAAAATCTTAGAAATACCGAATGTAGCTTTTATATTAGGGTCAATACGACGACATGGACCTGCATAGGTAACTTTTGTCATAAGCCATTACAATATTCAAATGCCAAACATAGAAAAAAATCGGTGAATAATGTAGCTAAGGTCATCAAAATACCGAATATCGGGAGGTACCGTTATATGGGGGCTGTACGAAGACGTGGACATGCACGGACAATTTTCTGTCATAGGCTGTAGTATTCATTGCAAAATTCAAATGCCAAATTTGAAACAATTCCGGTGAATAATGTCGCTAAAATCATCAAAGTAGCGAATATCGGGAAGTTCCGTTATATGGGGGCTATATGAAGACGTGAACTTACACAGACAATTTTCTGTCATAGGATGTACCATCTGTTACAAACTTCAAATACACAATTTGAAACATTTTCCGTGAATAATGTCGCTAAAATCATCAAAATACCGAATATCGGGAGGTACCGTTATATGGGGGCTATACCAAAACGTGGACCTACATCAAACATTTTCAATACCAAAAGTCCTCCAGATATAATGCACATTTGAGTAAAATTTTATCAACCTATTTCATTTCGTACAGAAGCTAGAGTGATTTCCAAGATGGACAGACGGATAGACGTACAGACGGACGGACATCGCTAAGTCGACATAGAATTTTATGCTGAGCAAGAATATATATACTTTGTGGGGTCTAAAATGTATATTTCGAGGTGTTACGAACGGAATGACAAACTTTATATACCCTCCATACTATGGTGAAGGTTATAGTTATTCAAAATTTTGACCCTTTGTGGGGGAGGTACTTCATTGAGTGGACCGATATTATCTATTTTCACACTGATGAAAATATTAGGATTTGTAAATTTTGAGCAAAAGCGGATTATCGTTTCTCTTTCTGTGATTTTTTTTTTTTTTTTTTAAATTTCGACTTTTTTGTGGTAGGTACCAGAAGAAGTGGACCGATATTGCCCATCTCCGAACTCGAGCTTGATAATAGTATAACGATGTACCAATTTTGGACCAAATTGGATACTCCCTTTGAGAGTTATCGCCAGACAGAAAGACGGACATCGCTAGATCGACTCCAAATGTCCTGAACGGATTTGGTATAAAGAGACTTAGGACTAAAAACGGTTTTTTCGATGAGGCACGTTTTGGCTGTATCAAATGATATATACAGGGTTGCCCATATTCGACGGACCCATCTGGCAACGCCATAACTTTTGACAGAGATGTTACATCGCTTAATGACATACCGCGTTTGAAGCGTCAGTCCAAGCAGATTTTTACCTTGAACCAATACACGGCACGCGAGCGCTCTGAATAGTTGAAATTTACATTCAACAGAAGAAGTCGATTGTGAAAACTCAACGTGCTTTTAAAACATTAATAAATGTGAGAAGTGCGCCTTCTAAGGACACCATTAAGCGTTTATACGAAAAATTTTCGACTGGTAATGCTCTTTCTAATCCGAAGAGGCCATATAAAAGTCGACCAAGGCGATCGGCCGAGAATATCGCTGCCGTACGAGCCAGTGTTGAGAGGTCCCCAAGAACATCCCAAAAACGCCGTTCTCAGCAGTTGGGCATGGCTCGGTCCACTTTACAACGGATTATTCGCATTGATTTGCATTTGTTCCCGTACAAAATTCAATTGACGCAAAGAATGTTGCCTGCGGACAAGCCTCGTCGATTGGAATGGACCCAAAGGCCCGTCGAATATGGGCAACCCTGTACCCTCTCTAGTCATATGGCTTTGGGTATAGATAAACAGGCCAGTCAATGCTCGAGTTATCTCGATACTCAACAAAAAATTTATCGATATTTTAAGAGGTGAAAAAAGTAAATGGTCAGATACCGATGAGCATATGAGCATAGCTGACAATATATCATAGAACAATCATTTATTAGCATAAAATCAGGCAGCAAAGACGCACGACGTGTGACGTCATACATAAGTGACTGATACATTTAACTAAATTTAAAATTGATTTTGGTTTGGACGGGGTATCGAGAGCCGCTATTGTGATAAAGGAGAATTTTAGTCATTTTTAGACTACTTCATGTTTCGTGAAAGCTAAATTTCTCTAGTCCAAAGCGAATGGCTAAGTAATAAACATGCCCTATTCCATGCCATGTTCCGTTCCTATGCTGAACTAACAGAAAACATTTGTATATCATATACGAAAGTATAATTCTATCCGTAAGCTCTAAGGATTAGTACAAAATAATATCACGAATAATCCGGATTACGAAAGAATTACTCACTCTTTCGACATACGACTTGTTTTATGTTGATAAAGTCCAATCTCTGTCGAATTATAAATGTATTCATGTCCATTTGTCGACGTAAGACAGGACAAACAATGTGATTAATTAGTTCAGTAGAACAAGAGAGAAAATACTCTTGAAAATTGTGTCATTCTACGGAAATATCAATAAAATCCTATTAAACACTCGCAAGATTGAGATTTATTCATTTCTGCGTCCATTCATGTGCATTTACATCTTTGATGTGTATATGTGTGTAAGTGTGTGTGTGTTTTTGCTTGCGAATGTGTTCTGTAAAAATGGTCACACAATCCTCACCAATGTCAACATTATTAACAGTTCCTTTCGTGTGACACGGTTTACTGGATAGCTGGATACAAGGAATACCTAGTGAAGCTACTCAACAATTCCGTTTTATGTTCTTCATCGTTGCACCGTTCAACGGAAAAAACAACTCACGTCCACGCAGTCATGTCATCCACAACTTTTTGTGGAGGCATTGTTGTTGTCATTTGCTTGTTTGTGTTGTGACCAATGAATACTTCCTCCCGAGCGCTGATAGGCACAATGGGAGATTTTACAGAATTGTTGTGTTTGGAACGGTAGATAGCCTGTGAAGTATTTAAATTAAAAAAGACCGGTAACTAAAAGTTTTTAAGAAAAAAAAAATCCGTAGATTTGTTCTCTTTGCATTTTTAGGAAAATGGACGACATTTTCTGAGTATTACAATCCCAATCTCTATTTTTTTTAATGATACACTCAGCAATATGGATGCAGAGGGTGTATATCATTTGATACGGCCAAAACGTGACTCATCGAAATAACTGGTCTAGGCCCTAATGTAACGTGGCTTTCTCTTCGGCTGAGGTAAGCTCAGCAGTACCCAGGGTCATAAGAATAGATTTCTCCCTTTCCTAGGGGTTAAAATTGCTGTGTTTTATTGATTTTTCATAGATTCGGCAACCGATGTCTAGGTCTTTGTAGATGGATCGAAACTCTATTGGGTTCTGCAGCTCGAGTTTAGCTATTCGGGTCGTCTACAAGGGCTAGGTAACTAATATAGCTAAGGTTTATAACTACATCTACTCCACTATCAATATATGGAACAGCGAGCCGAAGCTTCTGGGGAACAGCGGGATGAAACTCCTGCGGGACAGCGAGCCAAAACTCCCGCGGAACAGCGAGCCGAAGCTTCTGGGGAACAGCGAGCTGAAACTCCTGCCGAACAACGGGCCGACGGCTAGTCTTGAAATAAGTATTCCCAGCTGACGCTTTTGTTAGTCGGATGACGGTGGATGACTTAGATAATCACAACCTACCCTTTGACAAACCCCCTGCAGTACCAAGCCTGTCTTATCGTACCGCAATCCGAACAATATATCTGACCGGCAATGCCAAGTCAATGAAAATTCTTAGCTATATGCTGTGAACAGCATGTCACTGAAAACTAAGTTGTTTACTACGCGCCCAACGAATGCGGTGGTTGTTGGCTTATGCTGCTATATTGTGGTCTGGCTAAGGCCTTGGTTGCTGTGGCCGTTGCAATATGTGATGAAATCATTACGCTACACTTAGCTTCTTGGGATTTAATTCGTTACACGACATTTGGAGTCGATATAGGGTTGTCCGTCCATCTGTCTATCCCTCTGGCTGGTGCGCACGATAACACGATAACATCGTAATATTATTGTCTAACTTAGGTCGAGTTTGAAGATGGGCAATGTCGGTCGACTGCTTGTGGTACCTCCCCACAAAAAGTCAAAATTTTTATAGAAAATAATTTACCTCAGAGAACAAGAAAGGATGATCCATTTCCATTTTGTGCATTCTTTACAATTCCTAATGTTTGTATGGATGGACAATATCGGCCCACTCCATAAAAGTACTTGACCCCACAAAGGATCAAAAATTTGAAGAAATATAACTCTTATAAAATGAAAAAT